AAAAAAAAAAACGCCACAGGACGCAGGACAAATTGTTAAAAAGCGGGATGTCTGGTCACCCTACTGTAGTCCCAACTACTCAGGCGGTTAAGGCAAGAGGATTGCTTAAGTGCCTACTACAACACAAGCCTAATTTTTGGTTGTAGTTGTCATTGCTGTTTGGAAGGCCCAGGATGGATTCAAACCCACCAGCCCCAATGTATGTGGCTGGTACCCTAGCCGCTGAGCTACAGGCGCTTAGCCTCTTTCGACTATTTTTTAAAAGTTAGGCTGTTGGCTTGGGACCTGTGGCTCAAACAGCTAAGGCGCCAGCCACATACACCTGAGCTGGCGCCTTAGGTCGAATCCAGCCTGGGCCCGACAAACAACGAGAGCTGCAACCAAAAAATAGCCAGGCATTGTGGCAGGTGCCTGTAGTTCCAGCTACTTGGGAGGCGGAGGCAAGAGACTCGCTTGAGCCCAGGAGTGGGAGGTTGCTGTGAGCTGTGATGCCACATCACTCTACCCAGGGTAACAGCTTGAGGCTCTTTCTCAAGAAAAAAAAAGTTAGGCTGTTTATCTTCTTACTGCGTTATAAGAGTTCTTTATATATCTTGGATACAAGTTCTTTGCCAAATATATATATTGTATTTTCTCCTTGTCATTCTTTTGCTTGTTTAAAATGGTGCCTTTTGAAGTAGTTTTGGACTTCATGAAATCCAATTTATCAACTTTTCTGCATTTATGATTTATGCTTTATTTTCCTAAGACATCTTTGCCTACCCCAAGGTTACAAAAGCTTCTCCTGTTTTCTTCTATAAGTTTTATAATTTTAGCTTGTAGGTTTAGGTCTATGACCCATTTTGAAATAATTTTTATATCTGATATGAAGACTCAAGGTTTACTTAGTTCCATATGGAGATGCAGTTATTCTAGGAACATCTGTTGAAAAGACTATCTTCTCCTTACTGATTTATTTTTGCAATAATATTGTAATTTCTTAATTATTGTAGCTTTATAGTAAGTCTTTAAAATCAAATTGTTTATATCTTATA